GCTGTTCCCGTTGCCGTCGTCGTCGTCGTCGTCGTCGTCGTCGTCGTCGTCGTCGTCGTCGTCGTCGTCGTCGTCGTCGTCGTCGTCGTCGTCGTCGTCGTCGTCGTCGTCGTCGTCGTCGTCGTCGTCGTCGTCGTCGTCGTCGTCGTCGTCGTCGTCGTCGTCGTCGTCGTCGTCGTCGTCGTCGTCGTCGTCGTCGTCGTCGTCGTCGTCGTCGTCGTCGTCGTCGTCGTCGTCGTCGTCGTCGTCGTCGTCGTCGTCGTCGTCGTCGTCGTCGTCGTCGTCGTCGTCGTCGTCGTCGTCGTCGTCGTCGTCGTCGTCGTCGTCGTCGTCGTCGTCGTCGTCGTCGTCGTCGTCGTCGTCGTCGTCGTCGTCGTCGTCGTCGTCGTCGTCGTCGTCGTCGTCGTCGACGTTGTCGTCGTTCTCCACGTCGACGTTCTGGTCGTTGTATGCGCAAGGGTAGGTGGGCACCATCCAACCATCCTATCCCATCCTATCCTCCTGACGCTATCCTATCCTGGCGTAGCTTAGTTTAGCTTAGGGCCCTGCCATCCGGGAGGCTGGTGCCGTCAGAGGGAAAGAGGGAAGCAGTAACGGACAGAGAGGAACGACTGGAGGAACGAGGAGGTACGGATATCGTGTGACGAGGGCGAAACGAAGAGGAAACCGGTAAACGGAGATAGAGACGGAGAGAGGAATAGAAAGAGGAGGAAGATAGCGCGGGTATAGGGTTGGTGGTAGGACATTGCGGATATATTCGCCTCTATCCAGCGAACCGGCCTCCTCCGCGCACGGCGTAGCAGCATCCTCTTCGCCGTTTCTCTCTCCTGGCTATCCTGCGACGTAATCAGCGAGAGAACTACCACCCACTCTCCACCGACCCATCCACCCACCATCGACCCCTTTCTGCTCCACCTCGTCCTCTTGCGCTTCCTCCACCTCCTCATCCTCCTCCACCGCCTCCACCTCCTTCTCCTCCTCTCTCCTGCCCGTCTCACCGCGACCACCTACACCAACCCCCTTCGTTCGCGTCCGCTTTGCGCTACCCCTCGGCATCCCTTACCGGCTGCCGTGGCATGCATCTATCCGGACGTCTATCTACCTATCTATCTCGATGCACTGGGTGTCCGCCCGAAAACCGACTCCCATTTCTCTCCTCGCGCAAATTTCATCCTGCCTCGCGCCACCGCCGCCGCTCGCGACTCGGACCCCTGATGGGATCGTACCCGGCCAGAGATTCTTAATGGCGATCGCAGTTCGAGATACTCGCCTAATTTTCGACGAAACGCGCCACCCTCCGTTACAGGATATTGCATGACCGTGATTCTCGGAAAAAGTTCCTCCGAACGAATATCGACGTAGCGCTTCGACTTTGCACGAAAATGTTCCTACTTTCCGAGAACTTAATTAACTACGGGTATGCTTAATAATTCGGTTTAATCATTTTTCACTGTTGCGGTCTTAAATGCGTTTCACTTTCGCACACGTGACGCGTGCTAATACACGGCGTAACGATACGTAATGTGTGGCTATCTAACGATGGCATAGCGACACGGCGCGTAATCTAATACGTGGTGATATGGGGCACGAGGTGATATAGGACGTGTGGCAATATAGAGCACGCAACTATCGCACGCGTGATAATTTGACGCATGCCGATCTAACACGCGGTAATCTGTTGTGCGGCGATATGGGTCGCGTGGTGATATAGGATGTGCGGCGATACAACGCGTGGCTATTTAACGCATAGCGATATGCACGCGTGATGATTTCACATCATAGCGACATAGGACGAATGGCAATATAAAGCACGTGGTTACCTAACGCCCAGTAATACGACGCGGAGTAATTTGGCGCGTAATGGAACGCGTGGCAATATAGAGCACGTGGCGATTTAACGCATAGGCATGCGATACGCGTCGTTTTGATACAATAGCGGTTGGAAGGTCAAGTACCCAGCGACTTTATTGAATGAATCCTTCTGTCTTCCTCTGGATACGTTCTTTTTATTTCCGGTGAAAGTACAACGTTGATTTCATTCACGAGTATTCACGGTACTTCATAAGGTCCAACCTGACGATCCTTAAACGGTCCTTCACCTTATTTAACGTCAGTCTCTCAAAAGTGCTTAAAGTTCCTTTTAACGGGGAAACTTGCTCCATAAACGAACAGCGAGAAGTAACCACCCTCGGCCGTTTCAGATTAGAGAAAGAATCTCGCATAAAGTTTCCGCGTCGGTAAGAAAAAAGGAGGAAGAGGAAATCTTAAAACAATAATACTCGACCGTATCGCCGAATCGTCTTGTTTACGATCGAGTTAACGATTCAACGCTTCGAATTAATTATCGACCGTGTTCGTCCGTATGCTCATTCCGCGTTGTTAATGAAACAAAAAGAACGAATACGATTCAATTTATCCAAAAATTTTCGAACATCGTGTTTCGACGAATTTGCATAATTTCGTCCTCGTATCGCATGGACGACAATCGCGTTTAAACGAGAAACAAGTTTTCCCATTGGCGTAACTGGCATTTTTCTTCAAAGTGAAAACTCCGACCCACTCTAGGACGGACTCTAGAGAGATTCCAAAAAGGGGACTATTAGAGAGCAGGGAATTAGAGAAGATTCGAAGACTAGAGTTAGCCTAATGACTAAGGGAAATCTAACGACTGAAGGATGCAGATATACTTTGTCGATGTATAGACAAATATCGTGATGGTTAACGCAAATAGGTGGTTGGGCAGAAGCGTGATATAATGACGGAGAAGGTAGGAAAAGCTAGAGGTAAGTGCATGGGGTTTTGCAAGACAGCCCTAGTTACGCCAATGTTAGCGGCACAGGAATCGCAGGTAATTATGAAGGTGAGCGAGGACGAATGACCGTGTGGGAATACGGCTCGGTATACACGTGTATCTGCTATTGTGATATGGATGTTAATAGGTTAGGGGGTCTCCGGAGAATGTGGGGTGAATCACGATTTCGATAAGGGTTTATATTCCTCCCGCTCCCGTCCATTCTTGCTTCCCTTCCTCGTTGTTCGTCCTCCTCCTCTTCCTCCGTTCGTTCGTTTCTCCGTCTCTCTTATCATCATCCCTCTCTTCCTCTTTCCGCGTAACTGGCTGCCGTCGTTTCTCCCTCTTCTTCCGCCACTCGCTCATTGAAAACCGGCTCTAGGGCTTCCACCGTGGCGGGTTTGCACGTATACGGGTGCCTCTCTCCGTTTCGCTCGTGTTCACGCGTGTTTATACGCACACTCGCGCAAAGAAGAGACACGCGTGTCCGTATACGTGCTTACTTTATAGCACCGACGTCAGAAACACGTGTACGGCTCGTTAGAGCTCAGTGAGCCCCGCTCGTCGCGTGCTTATGTATCCGCCGGTATTTGTAACGATCGACCGTCAACGAGCGACCAACCTTCCCAACATCTCCTCCGCGGTTCGACAAACATTAATCCGAACTCATAAACACATACCGATCCGCCAGCTCTTTTTCTTCGGGATTATCGTGTCTTCTTGCGAGTACCGTCGCGTCGCGCCTCGTCGCCGCGTTGAGAACCCGACCCAACCGCGTTTACGATGATCGATACTGGCCACTGGTATTGATTATCGGATTTAGGTAACCGCGCTTCGCTAAATTTCGAAAGGTTATTTTTGTCACTTCTACGGTCATTTATTATTCCTCCTGCTTGTTGGAAATTTACGACATTGATTTCTACAGCTCGTGTAAAAAACAAAATTATTCTCTCTGTCTAGTTTGCTTCCGACCGATAGAGAAGGTGCCAATAATTGATGCGTGCTGCTTTAACCCAGTTACCAGCGAATCAAGTGCCCGCCGAATCGCTCGCGGGCAACGGGGCGTTCACCGAACCATCTCCAGTTTTCATATCTCCACCTTTCAATATTTACAAATGTTCCAATAGTAAATTATCCAATTAGGAAATTTCGAAATCTGAAAATTTATAATTTATATAAGTGTTAAGTATATTTGTACAAAGTGTTATTGCGTTCAATATACCTCTTTAATGTCGGACCATCCTCTTCCTTTTACTCGACGAAATTCATCGAACAATTATTTTTATTACGGACATCGGAGATTCCTGCCTCTTGACCCTTTAAGTTTATCTGGTATTGCGGAAACAAATAGAAGACGCTTCGGTGAAGTTTAAAGCTAAACTTGTGCCGGTACTTCCTCTCTTAGTTCTACACAACCAACCTGTATAATCCGTTCATTCGTTCCAAGTTACGAACTTGCTTCTCGGTGTCTTACGAGTAGAAAGTATTCGAAACAGCTGTTGCGTAAATGCTGATTACTAACGCGAAGAATCGATCGAAATTTTGAAATGACGTCTACGGCCATTTTCGCAACGATCGCTATTCCTATCGATCGTTCGATCGCTTAAAATCGAACCTTCGATATGTTCGAAGATTTTGCTTATGAAATATCGTTCGAAGATAGCTCGTCGGACGAGCGCTTACGTCACGGCACATCAGGGAATACGCGGTGACCATAAAAAAACTAGCGATTCTTCGCTAGCGGTTCTTCATTTAGTGGAAGAACTATCGAGAAACCAGTTTCGTATCGCGTTCGTCGCGAAACGGATTTTACCACTGATAAAAATCAAGATAAAATCCAACGTCAGTCCTGAAGACAAAAACGTGTTCGAAAATTCCACCTTACGTTTTATAATTTCCATGAACCATAAATACCTATCGCGGATTACGTAACCGGCGATCTATACATAACTAAGTTGAATTGGAGCGAAGCCGTCCCCGTTCACGATTAAATAGAGGCACCGCGCGTCTCCTTTATATATCACCGACCTAACCGCAGTCATCTGGCGGTAATCGCGCGCATAAAAACATCGATGTCTCGACACTGGCGACGTTATCGACTTCTTTTTGCCGCGATCGCGCGTGTAACTTCCTATCGGCGTCCCTTACTCGCTTACGATTCCGATTTTCACGAACACACACTGGTCCTTTGCTTCGTTCCTACACTATAGCGGTACGGTAACGACACGGATACACTCGGAAGTAATCAGAAGTTTCTCTGGGTTTAGAAATTTCATCGTTTTAACACTCGTGGTTGTCTCAAAAAGAAACGTCGACACTTGTTTATCGAGGAAATGATACAAGTCGCGGTCACGATTCACCTTAGATGGGAATTACCACTTTAGATCGGTATTACATTCGATGTAACGGAAAATTGACGTAAAGGGTCAGTACAGTCGTTATTTCTCGATCGAACGAATTTCCGGCGAAGCCAAGCTCGCGCGTAATCGGAACCACGATAAAGGTTCCGCGTACTCGAAAACCGAGCCTTTTGACGATGCTGGTACGGTTCGCGAGTTTGGTTTCCTAGTTTTCCGAACACCGCGTACACGACGGGCATCGTGGCCTGTTCGGTACTTCGGTACGGTTTGCAGGGCATGTAAACCGCGTAGGTGTAAACCCGAGTACGCTTGTGTTCGTGTAGGGCGGCCTCCACCTCCTCGCCGAGAGACGCACACAGAGAACCGGTGAAACATCTAGCCCAAGGTATATAGGCGGCAGGGACTAGGTACTATCTAGTATCTAGTAATACCGGGTACTAGGTACGTACGCGCCGCGGACGCCAAATAGTGGTTCGCATATTCAGAGAGATAGCGACGTCGCTCGGTGCGATCGCCCCTGATTTAGGCCTCGTTCCCTCGCTCCGTCTCTCTTTCTCCCTCGTTTCTATCCGTTCCTGTCGCTCTCTCTCTCCCACTCTCCCTCTTGCTCTTCGTCCCTCCTTTTCCTTCGCCCTCGGTCGTTTCATCTCCCAACGCGCGCCAACACACTCGAGCTACGGTATATCCGCGTGTGCACGTTCATCCGACACACACACCGGGTACACATAGCACTCTGGTCGCGTCCACGGATAACGTTCTCGATACGACGGCCAGCGCCGAGCACGACGACATCCAGGCGTCCCGAAAAGCGCTATCTCGCGGCACCCCGCTCCAAGCCGACCAATCAGCGCTTCGATCCACGCTTTCGACCGTCGCGCTTTGATCATGTACCCTGCGACTGATACCCACGAGCATCGTCTCGGCGTAAATCACGTTCCCTCTCGTCCTCTTCCGTGAACCTACTACGTTCACAGAATTATCGATACCGTGTATCGTGAAATTGAAGGATTTTTATCCTCTACAATTGCCGCGATCTCCGGTACAACCTCTTTTCGTTCCGCGATCGATCGCGCGAACGATTTGACTTCGACTTTCTTCGATTCCTTGTTCGAACATACGCGTCACAAAGTACGAAGAATGTGACGCGGAACTTTTGTCGCTTCGATCACCGTTATAATCGATTAGCAAACGAGACGCGTAGGCTGTTTCGATTCTGCGATCGAAATATTGCCCGCTGGCTAGTATCGATAGTTCTTAGTCCGAATGTCGATATTTCGTGCGACGATATTCAACGGTATCGACACTCAAAAGTTTCGATATTCATCAACTGTATATTCAGTCTCATCGTTCGAATCTATTTATTTAGTAAGTTATAAATAGGCTACGTTACGATTAAGTTATGGTTACGTTAGATCAAATTAGGTTAATTCTGATAGGTTAGGATGGATCGAGTTCGGTTTGATCAGATTTGGTTAAGTCAAGTTAGACCAGTTGGATTAAAGTTCGGTTTGCAGTTGAAAAGGAATGAACGGGTTTGAACAATACAATTACGTTCTACCAGGATCGCTCTCGTTAACTTAACGATATCATCGATGTATCGGTAAGCGTCAATGAATTATTGATATTTCGCCGATAATCAATAACAGCACCTCTCACAGTTGGGCGTTCAATAAACTGCGCTTGATATGGGTCTATTCGCTTTAAACTGTTCCGTAGGTCGAGGAAACCTTTGAATTTTCTTCGCAGCAGATAAACTTGATTCTCGCTGAAGTTTGTTATACACGATGTTCGTGGACTAACCGCAACCATTCTGTTCCCATATATTTCGAACAGTCATTCCATCGCTGTTCAACATTCTACTGTTTGAAATTTTGTACAATGCAAATTATACATACGTACAGTAATTGATACTTTACCTTGAATTCCTTCAATGAACTTGTACTTTACAAAAAGCGTGAAAATTAACAAAAATAGCAGAATAAAAATAATTACTTTAATTTAAGATTCTAATTAACATCTAATAATCTCGCGTTAATGTACGAAAGTATAAAAGGTTTAAATGCGAAAAAACAGTGATGGTGGCAGTGATTAGCGAAGTACTAAAATTAGTACAGCTTACCCTAATTCGAGAAATTTGTCACGCGCTCGAAGAAAAAACGGCGATACGAAAAAACGTCGGAGAGTAATTTCGCAGTAAGGTGACGCTGAATTGTACAGAGATACTTTTATCATTACGGCTCGTGTCATATATCTCGCGATATTCGCGGCGGGTACGACTTCGTTCAGGTTATAAATTATCGCGCGGGACGTAAGTTCACGGTTGAGAAACACTGAGCGCAGCTGCCGCGGCGTGGCGCGGCGGCGGTATCTCCGCGTTGTCTGCTACCTCACACCCTCGTCTTGCGTCCCACGTGGGTGCCGGTCGAAGGGGTCGCGCGGAACGACGGTGACGTGCAGGGCAACCGAGGGACGGAGGGTTGGGTAACGCCAATGGGCGAGGAAGCAGAACCTAGGGTGCCAGAGGGTGAAGAGAAGGGGGTGGCAGGGATCGCAGGATAGGGTGAGGTTAGGTTGGGTGGACAGAGGGGGCGGAAGTGGGTGAAGGGATCGAGGGATAGCCGCACCACCCACTGACCATCTCCGCCTTACCCTGGCGCACGGCTACACGCTCGCAAAAAAGACTACCTTCTCCCAGTTCCAAGACACGAAAGGGCGAGGCGCCCCTTCCACCTTTTTCAACCACCTTCAGGCCCTTCTTGCCAATTTATCGATAATTAACCGACTTTCCGAAACCTCCACGATCTTTATTCTTAAGTATGACGTGTTGTTTTCCTTTACTGTACCTCTCGCGATGCTCGCTTATACCCATCGTACGGTGCAGTAAATTCTACGCATAGATCATAATACGGTGACGTAGGTCAGGGACCGAGAATACACACGGGCTGCCACGTGCTCGCCGGTGTGTATTTCAATGTGTACTCTGCTCGTGTGGATGATTATTAGCTGTGTGTGCTATGAATTTACTCTTTAGTACTGTTATTATTACTACTTCTGTGCTTTAGTAGGATTCTTTCACGACTTGCCAGCAGCCGGTAAAACGTATGCTCTGTTTACAGGAACGTGATTTCTATTTTCTGCTCATTTTATTCCTACTGTTAATTAACCTTACGACTTCATCTTTACAATTCGATTATTACGTCATACCACTTTTAAACAAGTACATAGAGTTTATCACAAGCACCTTGAAACGGGGAAAACGTTTGAAAGTAATCGGAATTATTAAATTAAATACGTGTTACGAGTTCAAGTTTGAGTTAATGTGATTATAGAAGTTAAATAAGAAGTTAAAGTCGAATTTATGGAGTAATCGATACGCAACACGATATTAAATGAATTTTTGACTTTACCTACTGCTGTTGTACAGCACTCTGTATTACCTCATAACGTTAAATTACATTTTTCTGTTCACAGCCGAAACATTTGCGCTCACCGACGTACGTACAAAAATTTCAAAAGGGAAATTGCTTCGAATGCGCAACATTTCTTGTCAGTTTGCTATTAGGACAAAGATATAATGCTTTTGTGGTCAGCGGTTATGCATCCAGGGAGCAGACTCTGCGTGATCTGACGAGAACTACGTGCCCCTATTTACCGCAACCAGAAGTACGTGAAACTACAACGGTAGAGGCCGAAGAAATTTGTAAATATGAACTGAAGCTGCCGCTGGCATACCAGAGTGAACATTTATTAAAACTCGAACAAGAAGAGGAGCAGAAGATACAAACTAAATTGAGATTGCAAGAAGAAAAGCAACGGAGATACATCGAAGTACTTATTTTATAGTAATAATCTTTTACTGATATTATTTATTCATTAATAAATAATTTGTTATTTAGGATTTAGAACGGCCTCCAAGAGATAAATATCACGGACACAGAATACACGCTTGGGTAGCTATTTTACCAGAACTAGGAGGATTAAGGGATCAAGAAATTCCATATCCACTTTTCATCGAACCAACAACCGGCGTATCCTACGACGCGACAAGCAGTAACACTGCTAAATTCTATTTGGGCATTGAAAGTATATGGAATGATAAGAATTATTGGGTAAACGTGCAACCATCAAAATCCTGCGCTGATATAAAGTGGGATTTAACTAAAGTTGAACAGTGGGAACATTTATTACCTGGAGAGCCGTGGACAATGCGTGGAACAGGAGAGGAAATTGATCTCGATTCCATGATACCGCAAGAAAAACACTTGGACATGCCAATTTCATATGTAAATAAAATAAGAATTAGCACGCAAAGTACGTAAAGTTATTTACTATACAAAACTTTTATTATAGATATTGATATATTTTGATGTTTCAGACTTCGAGAAACGCTATCCAAATGGTTCGAAAACAATACACTACAAGAAGGCAAAAGTTCAATTGTATGCACCGTATATTCAAACAGATGGATTGATCCAAAAAATTACTTTGTACGATGATTATGTGTATGCCACACCTGTTGAAGTTTATGAGTACTACCAAAATAGGTCGGATAATCTCGTGGAAAGTCGGAAAAATTTAACGGACGATGCTGTCGTTGATTACTACTTGAGAGGTCGTCCAGATTACTGCAAAGGTATTTGGTAAACAAAGTCATCTTCAGACTTAGAGAATGTGTCAGAATCAGATTTATAGTTTATCACTTTATGGTAAATACTTACAGAGCACCGATACTTTTCTAATGATTCCAATGCGGTGGATAGCGAGAGAATCTTAGATTTTTATTCTACTGGTCGGTTGGATGGATTAACACGAATTGAAATGCATCCTGATTATTTGACGCAACAGTTCACGGATCGAGATGACTTTCTGTATTACCGGTAAGAGGTAATTAATAGTTATATAAATTTTAACTCCGAAGTTTCTCCTTTAAATATTTATGATAACGCAGGACAATGATAACAGTAAAATATTAAAAACAGGAACGTTCAGTTCTCTCGAGGGAAAAGTTCCACAGCGTTAGACGACATACATTATCGACAAGTCTCGGTAATGCAGATTTTGTAGCGCGTAAAATAATCGCGTAATTTAAATACACTGAGTGTCATTGAATTTTTAGAAAATTGTAGAAAAATTTAACAGAGATGAGAGGATCAACGCGAATCAGAATATAGCGATTCGCGAGTTCGCTATTGATGAGAATGAAATACGACTTACGTATCACTATAAACCAGGACTGTTCTCTAGAGCCACACGATTATTTATAAAACCACCATTAGCAGAAAGAGGAGAACGGCTAGTTCTCAATCCTGCAATGACTCAAGGATACAATGTAAGATTTCATTATTTTTGTCAAGAACAGTGTCTATAATTTATTCTGCTTTTCGTAGCCCTTAGATGAACCTGTTAAAGGTCTTGAAGTCTTTTATGAACTAGAAACGCAATTAAAAGAGGAGGATTGTTCTATATCTCATGTCAGAAATGCTGAAACCGAAGTATCCTCTTTTCTGACAACAAGAAATAATGAGTATTTGACACCGACGTTATTAATATCTGCGTATGATAAACATAGAGAGTTGTCGGCAACCGATATACTTACGGTATAAAAATCTGTATTATAAATATGTATAACTACATTTCAGTATTAACTAAATTTTTATGCAATTATAAACACAGATTGAATGGAAACGAGAACAAAGTTTAAAAGATCTCATTGAAGATAAAGATCATTTGAAACCATATTTGGCGCGTATAGGAAATCCGCCCGAAGTATCCGTGCTGCAAGCCTATTCCATAAAATATGATTGTCTGAACGATTATAAACAATTACTTGTAAACAGAGCAAACAAGATTTTGCATAAATTTGAAGAGTACATGCAACGTCTTGAGAAACTACAGACATCATTGGTGCAGGTTAAAGATTTTTTGTGAATTCCTCTTGTCTCGTAGATGTACATTTGATATAAAATTTTTAATTATACAATACTTTTTACAGAACGAAGACTTAAGTCACGAAGAAGAAGCAGAAATATTAGAAAAGATGGATGAAGTCAATTTCATTTTGCAAACGCTGGAAACTAGATTGGACCGTCACAGAGATTTAGTTCCAGTACGATATAAAATGTTAATGGATTATCTACAACAAACTCCACATCTTACAGTACTTAGATCTTGAATGAAACAAATAGATAAGACCATTTGTCTTATCGCTATTGAAAAGACCAAGAACCCATTTGTCCGATGCATCTACCTAAAAAGAATATTAGATACAAACTTCCTGAATTTTAAATATATTTCTAACTTCTGAAATATTACCTTCATCGTCAAAAGTAGCCAATGTAAATTTGCTAAGTTTATTCGTAAAACTTCCGGTAGTCGAACCTATCGAGTGATCCATTAAACGATCAGTATTTGCCACATCGCCATTAGCTCCGTGGCGGCGATGTTCCTCGGCAAAACCAGAAATTAACGTATCCATCATTATTGCCTAAAAGCAAAATCAATTTTTCATTCAATTACATTTAAACCAATATTATTATTTTGCCATCAATAAATCATACTTGTCTCGAGAATACTTGTAGTATTTTATAAACGCGTGCTCCATTCTCTCGAACAGGAAATTGTAAAAATAAACAAGGCAGGCAGTCTAAATTACCTTCGTCGGATGGCTTCGCCATTTCCCAACTCACCTCTGAATACCGCAGACCTAATAATAAACTCTGCAAAGAAAAATTGTTTCTTTCAATGTGATCATTAATTATTATATAAATTCAGAATACTTACACATTGCATATCATCAACAATGTATATACCCGATGAATTAATGGCTATAAGAACATGCATATCACGATTTGTAATCCATGACGCGAGACCTCTTACAGGACGTTCAATCTGTCCCTGAAAGAAAGCTGCACCATAACAAGGCAAACTCCAACAAAACTCTAGATATTTTCTAATAAGTTTCCTTGAATTTGTATTAGTTCCTGTGTGATTAGGTATTCGTTTGTATTGTTCAAGAAGACGTGCCTCAGGAGCTCCTTTTCCTCCTACCAAACCTAATCCAAGACCTAGCCCTAATAACAGGCTAGGAGAAGTATAATGATGCGGTAAAAATCGACCACGATGTCGTCTGAAAAATGCTAATGTATGATTTTGTGGATTGTATGGTCCTAGTTCAATGCGTGCTTGCAAAGCTCCCAAGCTGGCGTACCGTGCTTGACCTTCGCATGGATAACGTCCTGAAACATACTTCTGTTTAATACTATATTAAATTTAGATGTAACAAAACTTCAATGAAACGCATACCTTGTAGAACATTATTTCTAGCTTCTGCATATAATAATTCCAATACTTTGGCTTCTTTTATTTGCTCCTCATCTGCCCGAGAAAGAAATACATTTCGTCTAAGACACAATAAAGGTTCTTCATCGGTATCTTCCCTTTCAGAACTGTACTTTTTCACTAAATGATTCCACTTTGTTGCTAATTCGATAGGCTTATGATTTGGTCGTAATTGAACTTCAAGTTTTGATGAACAGAGCCACAAAGCAAACACTGTTTGACCAGTAGGCAATGGAGTTCTTGCTAATCCTAATTCTGCTTCAGACTGTATCATTGTTAGAATTTGATGGGCAGTGGAATTTTGTTCAATGTCCATTGTTAAAAAAACTTCTGTCATTAAATATACAGCTATTCGAATGGTAGATCTTCCAATATTTAAATATTGTGATTGGTTCATCATCATTGCTAAATGGAGTAGTATTACAATTGAATAAATTAACATTATTATTACTAATATTATTACTTACAAGATGATGTATGTCCTCTTCGAATAGGTTGACCTCTGCGAATTGTACAATCTTCTTGTGTCTCCATGTTATTTAATTATTATGTACTTACATACAGTGTTTAGATAACATTGTGCTTTACTTAATAATCACTGCTGACAAATCTATTTTGTAAATAGACAAATTGTCTTGTACATTTTATTTCCATTTTGAAGTGTTATCATTGAATGTAGTACTAGATGTTTTATTATATAATTGTTCTCATGAACAGTATTAAGTATCACATAACATATTAAATAACATAAACAATAATTCTTTATTTCATTAGAACAAATGAAATTCCACAATAAATGGCAATTAATTTTTAAAAGACACTAAACCAAAACAGTGCTCTGCTGCCATCTAAACCAGAGAACCAATTTATTGATTATTTTACCTCAACAGTAACACCTCACTGCTGTGCAAATATATGCTTTCAATAAAATAAAATGAAATATAATTACATTAAAACATATTTTCTGTGTGTTATATATTATTTATTAAACTATATTTATAGTATATAACATTTTTATTAAATCTAGTACTTAATTTTAGGTACATTAAATATAATGTTGTTTATTATAACATGTTTACTTTTTGTTATTATTCATAATAAAATTTATTATTTTTATTATTACATTCGTTTATATTAGCTTTAGAAATTAAACATTGAAGTGCAAAAATGGAAATTTGTCTTGTATTTTATAAAAGTAATGTGCCTTTATTAGAATAATACCACTTCAAAAACCTATCGCATTTCATTTTATTAAAAATATATGTTGAAAACAGAATGTTCCGAAATTGAAAGAAAAATTATTATTTAATACAATTATCGATCTTAAAATTATATTAAGTCAGCTACATTCATGGGCATCTCATCAATTTGCGTCGAGTAATATTGTTCGATATCTCGAAGAATCCGAATATCGTCAGTTTTTACGAAATTGATCGAAACACCTTTTCTTCCGAACCGACCAGAACGGCCTATCCTATGAATATATAACTCACGATTGTTAGGCAGATCATAATTGATTACAAGAGACACTTGTTGAACATCTATTCCTCTTGCCCAAACATCAGTTGTAATCAAAACGCGACTACAAAGAAACAAAGTAAAGATTACAAAGTTGAACTTGGAACAAGAATATGTATGTTTAAAAAATTTGTCATTATTTACCTTTGGCCAGAACGGAATTCTTTCATTATATTATCTCTTTCTTTTTGTGGCATGTCACCATGCATGGAACACACTGTGAAATTGGCCTCCCTCATTTTTTCTGTTAACCAATCTACTTTACGTTTAGTGTTGCAAAATATTACAGCTTGTGTTATTGTTAATGTATCATACAAATCGCACAATGTGTCAAATTTCCATTCTTCTCTTTCAACAGCCACAAAGAACTGTTTTATCCCTTCTAATGTCAATTCATCACTAAAAAGAAGTAATGAATTAGTTTCATTGAATTACTATCAGCTTTAAATCTTATGAAACTTAAACTTACCGTTTGACAAGAATACGAATAGGATCTGTCATAAATTTACTTGTCATTTCAAGAATTTCGTGTGGTAATGTTGCAGATACTAATACAACTTGTGTTGCAGGTGGCAAATATCTGTATACGTCATAAATTTGTTCTTTGAAACCCTTATTTAACATTTCATCTGATTCATCAAGAACTAACATTTTTATAGCCCTTGTTCTGAGAACACGTCTTTTTATCATGTCTGCAAATATAAATATATTATTTCTGTCATTTATATACAGTGCTATATTATATATAGTTATGTAAACAAATTACCAAATACTCTGCCAGGTGTGCCTGACACAACATGTTGTCCATAATCTAACTTTCTGATATCTTCACCAAGATTGGTGCCTCCAATACATGCATGGCATTGAACGTTCATAAAATCTCCTAACGCCAGAATAACTTTCTGGATTTGAGTTGCCAATTCTCTCGTTGGAGATAAAACTAATACTTGTGTTTCTCTGACTTGTGTATCCAATGATTGTAATATTGCAATGGAAAACGTTGCCGTTTTTCCTGTACCAGATTGAGCTTGTGCAATTACGTCTCGTCCTTTCATTATCGGCTTAATCGAACGTTGTTGAATGGCTGATGGTTTTTCAAAACCTATAAAAAAGATACTACTGTTTATTACATTCACAAGCATTAGAATTAGCTACGTTACTAGTATTAATGAAAGTACTCATTTAAAATTATAAGGCTGAAAATGAAAAGGAAAGGTTAAATTTAGATATTACAAAATACAAGACTTTAACAATACCATAAGCATAAATCCCACGTAATAACTCATCTCTGAGACCCATATTATCGAATGTTGGAATAACTTCGACATCTTCACTGGTTTCGAACTCAACGTTCGATAAATCTTCTGTTTGGGCAACACGACGTGACTTTACTTCCGCCATTTTCGCTAATAATATGTGTATATAAATGATCTGAAAATAGGCGCGTTTTCTACAATATTTCCACGAAGTGAAGTGGAACCATACTGATAAAGAATCTCCTGAACTTAGCCGTAATACAAAAGTACTAGAATAAACTAGGGTTTCTTGTAAGATAACAGTTGGTACTGATGAATACTTTTAGTAAACGACGTTTACAGGAACTTTGAATTCATTTTTCAAGCTGTTATTCTTTGTAATTGTTTATAATACTGTGCACAATATGTTGCAACTTATTTTGTTACAAAAAATGTATCTATAAAGATCCATAAAAGTATATCGTCGCTGTTTTTAATACAAAAAATACAATAAATCGTTGAATTGGGTTATGTATTAGTTTGTTTACAGCAATTAAAAAAAAAAGTCAAAATGGATATTAATGTGACATTTGATGAACCTTTAACAAGTAATAATTGTGTGAAACTCGTAACTGAATTATTGAAATATATTTTATATCAAAAGCAACAAATACCATTTACGTATGATTCATTAAGTCAACTACAAGTAAAAAATACTGATAGAAATTCGACCTCTATAAAAACATTATTAAATTCCTTAAAAAATACAACAGAACAATTGGATTCGCAATTTCATCTTAGTGGGTGTAAGATTAAAGAAATTGCTATACTTATTGGTGCTACCATAGTGTCACCAAGATTACATATTAGAGTTGAATTTCCACCCGATGTTCTTAGCAGTCAAGAACATCTTGAATGTAAACATGCTCCTAGGAAACCTCTTTTAAATTTAATGAGGTTAGTAAACTAGGTATTTATAAAATAATGAATCACATTATTATTATTGTAATTAAAATATTATGAACCATTATTTTCAGATCAATACTGGAATGTTCAGAGTTCCAAGATGCTTTGACAACACCATTAAATCCCACAAATACATTTGTACTGATACAAAAGAGCGATAGTAATGCAGTATCAGAGTTCTTTTTACCTAAGCCACAATATATGCCTCCAACGCATAAATCTAATTATTTTGTGTTTAAGTTACAACATAGTGATGAACTGAAAATGGATTGCAATTGTATAGATATAGTAAAAGTTTATAATGAAGTATCAGAACATAATACAAATAAAAGTAAAGACATTCAGTTCTTAAATAATTCAAATATAAATACTACACATTGTCCTTATCGATGGTATCAATCTAAGGAAGTAATTAAAGGATTCAAATTCTTAAGATGACCATAAATGTGTTATAGGAAATTGAAATAGCATATATTTTATTATCATGAAATATCAAATATATTTTTAAAAATTATTACCATTTTTAAATGCATTATTATAATGTAGAAAATACGTTAATCATGATGTTACAAACATATGACTAATTACAGATATATATGGATTATGTTTTGAAATGTTTTAATACTAAATTACAATTATACGTATATTGATTAAAAATAAAAATTTATATAGAAGTTCAAAATACAATAGATTTTTTGTTTATATTAGTAGATATTAAGTTTTTATTTTTATAACAACGAGCTCAATTAAACAATGTAAGTTACATAATAAAATTTCATTTCATAATATTTATCTTTTACCTGTTTACAAATTAAAATATTTTATCTACACATTTTTTTTATTTTCTTCTGTATTGCTGTTCGTTATTTCGTTTTTATCAGTACTACCTAAAATGTTGGCAAGTGGTAATTCATAAATTGTAACTTTTAATATCTTAAAGTCAGTAACTATAATTATTCTTAGTAACAGTAGTATTAATCCTCCGATCCAACTCCACATCATTATTCTTGAAAACATCTTAAAATTATTTATAATAAAATTTAATATCAATTTTGTGAAAATAAAACAGAAACATTTAAAAGATATAACCTGCTGCCATGATAACATGTCACACACATCATAGTCATAAAAATGATAAATATCTACATATGTTCGTATAATTTCACAATCACTGCAAATAACTTATTATTAAAAAATATATAAGTATAATAAAAGTGTTTGTATTCAATACCTTACATCCTTTGATGCATCAGAAGAATTATATACTTTATAAAATATATTATGTATGTTTGTATTAAACTCTTTAAATCCTTCTTGAAAATTATAATTTGCAAATATAGATATTATAGCAAATATAAAGTTAAATAATATTGCAGGTGCTACAATTCTCCATGACCTTTCATTTCTGTGTATCAATATAATAATTTGTTTCTTACATTTTTATTAATTTTAAAGTAATAATAAAAGTTACAGTTACTTGCATTGCTACATCATATCCACCTTTTCCACAGATGGAAAAGAAAGTAAACCACATAATTCCAAAAATACAAGATGAAAAACATGTTATTAAATATATTGTACATTCATATATAAGCTCTGTATCTAAAACAACATATCTCCACCAATTATTATAATTAGTCTTAATTTCATGTATGTCAATATCTGATTTATCAAGATGTGGCATCACAATAAAGTCTGCCCAAAGTAAACAATCACCACCAAAACTATCCTCCTGTATTGTTCCATAAATTTCATAGTAACATACTTCAATTTAAATTTCAAACATAATAAAAAGACATATAAAATTTAAATTAACTGTACCCATATTGCATAAAATAAAATACTACAAATGCATCCACTGATTATGCATAAGAAGTAAAGAAACATTTGTACATATTTCCATAAACAAGAAATTTCAGCCGCATCACGCTCGACAATTTCTTGATATTCTTCCACAAGTTGCATCGAAAACTCCTACATAAAATTAAAATTTTTATTAGTTTAAGGGTGTTTTAGACAAGGCGAGCAAATGCTCGTTTTTCCCCATTTCGGCAAGTTTCAAGCGTGAACGAGCATTCAGTAGCTGAATCAGATGCACATCGTGAAAGAATATTTTAACAATAAGAACAGTCGCTGCTCAAATCAATTCGACACGATTTAATACGTTGTGATTCAATTCGATGCGTTTTAACCCAACAAAATTCAATTTCACACGTTTCAATTCGAGGTGATTCAACTCCACACGATTCAATTCCACGCGGTTCTGTTTCATACGTTTCAATTCTACGCGATTCATTTCCATGTGTTTCAATTTGATATCAGGCCAGCCCCGGGGGCAGGGGTGCAGCAGGTGCAAGGCACCCGAGTTCTGGGCTATACAGAGATTTCAGGAAAAGAGAAAAACAAGAAAAAAGAAAACAAAAGAGGAAAGAACAATAGCGGAAAATAATTATATATGAAAATATATTAATTCTTATTTGCTTATTTTTTCATTCTCTTCGTTACTGTAACTTTTCTTGCGGAAAAATATACACTTTTAGCGTTGAAAAATTGTTTAGGACTTCAAAGTACATACATACAGGCTCCCTTATCGAAAAGCCGGTTCTGTCTGATATGATTCAATTTTACACGATTCAATTCAGTCCCATACTTTTTTATTCGACACGTTTAAATGTAATGTGAATTAGCTCAGCACAGATTCAATTTATCCGATTAATAACAAACATCAAGACGTTTGGTTTACACTCGAGAAACATTTGCTCTTATTAACATTTCGTTCGATGGTCATTTATAAGCATACACTTTGCATTAAAGAAACACGAACGAATGTGCTTGGCCCTTGCTCTATGTTTTTGCTCATTACGTCCAAACGCACCCTAATATACGCAATTAAAAAGATTTCGCGCCAAACTTTTTTCATACCAGGAAATATGAATCCGATTGGTTTATTGACAGCAAACAGAATTCAAACGATAATGAGACGAATAAATTTCAAGAATTATAAGATCACTATTGAAGTGCAGTGCTAATTGTTTTAATGGAAAAATATGTAAAATTTGATAGAAATTTATGTGGTTTTTATAATCTGCATACCATGTATTGATGGAAATATTTAAACATAAATTAAAAATGATGTTTAAAGTAGATTATCTAAATATTAAACATAGTAGATTCAATATAACTCCCTGGTTTGAAGGAAGTGTTGCAGACTGATCGTGGGAGTTGGACCAAGAAACGGAGGAACGCGCGGACCGCGAACCGCCACAGTGTTGTCGACAAGAAGGATACACGAAGGCGAGAAATTCTTGTTTTTTTTTTACATCCGAACAGCGAAAATCACGAGGAAAACGATGGTGGATGCACGTTCTAAAGGGTCATCGAACGAATAAACTCAACTGCTGTGGACACGTAAACCATTCGTGGGTGAAGTGAAACACATGTGTCGGCCAAACCGTGTTTTCCACTCTAGAGTGCCCGTCCCGTGTTTGATCCGTGAAAATTTCACGTTTAGAAAGCCAACTTGTATTCCAGTTACGATAATCTGCAGAAAATCAACGTGTCCGAGTTTAAACACATCGATTAACGTGATGAGTTGCTTCTTCGAAATGGAATAAAACTTATTGCAGAAGGCGGCAGTGCGTGGGTGGGTGGGTGTCTAGCGATTGCCACTCATGTACATAAAATTCCTTTTGGAATTTTATACAAAATGTTGCTATCGAACCAATGATAGTGCACTTTTATATTCAGTGTTATTTGGTTCAATTGATATGTATTAATTGGCACATTATTCATGCAAACCTTTTTAGACACAAGAAAAAAAATATCAGTTAAATTTCACACCAACACTGTCAATTTTTTGGCTAGTGTCAATCTGACAGTTTTAAATGTATAAGATGAACGTAATTACGTTTCTAAATTGTTATCAATAGTATTACTATTGAAGGGAACATATATAGTTGATTAACATCAACATTATTACAGAAAGTTTTCTTTCGATTGTGGACTGATATTTTGTTTTATAAAATTACTTTATGAAAAATGCTTTCCTTAAACTCTGAAATGAAAGTAATGTAGCAAGTCTCTATCAATTGTCGTTCGCAGCTTCAAGAGAAGGACCTTACAGTCCTGCCTCTTTTTGTAAACTGATATTAAGAGGCTAAAGTATGAAAGGTCAAGCGGAGAAAAATGGATATCGATAAAGTGTCAGCATGCGTGAGAAGTCAGCAGAATGTCATGCTCACGCAGGTCACGTGAGGGGCACAACAGAAATGTGCTCACGTGATCCTTCTACATTGCATTCAACCCTTACCAAGGCAAATGGTAAAAATTCAAGCCCACAGTCAACTCATCATTCGGAAGCACATATTGACAGCAATTTACTTCCAACACCCGGTGGACGATTAAAATTTTTTAAAGATGGAAAATTTATTTTGGAACTATCCCATCGTAGAGATGGAGAAAGAACCACATGGTTTCCAGTCCCAAAGAAAACATTTTGGCCACCAGCCAGTACAACTCCAAATAGGCAAGAGAGTTCAACGTCTCTTAGTGGTAAGTTGAACAGTAATATTTTGTTGTTTCTAGAATTGACCAACTCTAATATTACTCATATTTGCAGTTTCTGATGATAATTCATCGGTTCAGTCAAGTCCTTGGCAAAGAGATCATTGTTGGAAGCAAGCAAACCCAAGACGTAGGATATCTACAGAATTCAATTTTTATTATTATAGAAATCCAAGAAATCGTCTGTGCGCGCATCCTCGCTTAATCGCAAGAAAGCGTAGACGTCCACTAGATCCTACTTCTTTGTTGCTCGTTCCAGAATCAGTAACAAATTATACTAAACCAATGCGTAAAGCAAACGGTACACCAACAGGGAAGGTTTTAAATCTAATTATCGACAAATTGGCGCGTCTTCTAGATCCTAATGTTGTTTCACCTCGCAAACGTATTTTACGCGAATTAGAAAAAGTTTCATTGGAAGATCAGGCATCCAAAAGACGTGCAACACCGCAGCCTGTTTGTACAACGACTGCTCCTACATCTTCGCCAAAACAATTATCATCATACAGTATAACTAGTATCTTGGGAGAAGACAAACCGAGTCACGAACAAGGCTTTTTGAGAAATTTATTGAAACCGGATGACAGACAAACTGCGAAATACTCATCAAGTAATTCGTATCCGAGGGTACGAATGGATCCGTATATTGGTACAACTAATACACCTTTGCAACATCCGCTTTATGGTGTACCAATGTTACCTCCTGGACCATATAGAGCTCCTTTATGGATGCATTACCCATCACCCGTCCATTATCCACCTCCTATGCCATTATATGCACCACCACCTCCTCATCCCCCATCTCCTCCGGTTCATCATTACAAAGACTATAGGGAACAAACTCTCACACCTCCTTCAGGTACGTCTTCAAAAATATATTTTCTACTTATCAAACATCATAAAAAATACTGATTTTATATGTTCTATATTTTAGATATGCCTCTAAATCTGTCGAAGCATGCGGGTTGAATCTCAGGATCCTAAAAGTTGGTGCCTTATAAATGGACAAAACTGCGCAAACACTGCCCGTGCAACGACAATGCGATATATTAGTATTTTTTTATTCGTTAACAGTAGTATCATAGTAAGTAGAAACATGCAACCAGAAAAGCAAAGTCTGGGTGCTATTCTTGTACATATAAATGCATAAACTGTCCAAGTTGGCATAGGTATTTTATATTAATATTAAATTAAATCATGAGTAGTATTATGCAATTTTTATCGTAATTAATATTATGTATGCATTACATAATTGAGAATGTGTATGTTGCATAATCTTTTACTTGATATATCTTCATTGTTTTAGTTACAAAAATTGTACTTTTTCACAAATTTGACACTACAAAAGTGTATAAATGTGTTCACATATTAAGATTTATCTAGTTCGATGTTTATTTTATTAGCTATTTCTACTACTCATGATTCAGATACCACCATGAAAAAATGGAGCATGCTCTCACCTTGCGCATCTCACTTATACATTATCTTGTTATTCTTACTAACGTTACTGTCATTATCATTAATAAATGAAACGACTATTCATTTTAAAAGATTCATAAGAAAGACATAGAATTATGTACAGAACAGATTATTACCTATATTTAGTATAAATAATTATTCCTATGAATAGTAATATGATAATAAATTTAGATTGATAGCATCCACAACAGTATACATTTATTTATATAATATTAGTAAACAAAATTGCTTGGTAAAGACCGTGGGGTGTGCCTTAAATGATACCTAAATTGCAACAAACTAAATTGTAAACATTTTCATGGATATGTACTATCGCTACTACTACTATTATTACTACTATTAGTACTGTGTATATATGAATATAAACTTTACGTTACGTATTTGCATCAAATCGACATTCGTCACTATTTATTGTTAGTCAGGCGCATTACCAAACATTTTTCGCAAAGGCAAGCTCACACAGGCTCTACAAACTAGTGAGTAATTCTAATTATTCATTTATATACATTTTTTATTAATTGAAACAGATGAAATATGTGACTGCGCGCAAGCAATTGTATAGAAAGACTAATTTCGTAAATATATAAATATTTCATATACTATACGAGAGCTTTTCATTTATTGTCACGTTACGTATTTTTTATGTTTATTCGGTTTTATAAGATTTCTTTTATTGTAAATATATTTAAATCCGAAGTAAATTTATATTTATTCAATAAAAATAACTAAGGTATATGATTTTTAATATTTGCAATATCTATTTGTTAAGTTTTATCTCCTTTGTGTAAATACCTTTAATAAGTATTATAGTTATGATATATTTTATAATTAATATTACTTGCGATTTCAAATTTATCGAGTTTAAAATTCTTAAACATAAAAATGTTTATCGCAAGAATGTTCAAGTCCCCAAATTTTTCAATCTCCAAATTCTTAATTTTACAGTTCTCAGATTCTCAAATTTGCAAATTTGATCGAGTTATCAAAAAAAATACTTGAGGTATCCAACTTAATCCTTCCAACTTTATTCGACTCTACGCGACGAATACGTAAATTTTATCTGATCGAACTAAATAAAAGAATTTAAATTTCGCGGTCCCCTCAACGAGTGCGCAGAAAAATTGGCACTGTATCGTTAGCCCCCCACTCTTTGACAAAGTAACGCAGACGCTCTCGAGACCGCGCAATCGTCGGGTCTTGGTAGTATCCGATCCGTGGCCTTGTTTTGCGGTATTCGTTGACCGGGTTGTGTCGTTCCAATCGCATGTTTTTTTCTCACCAAAATATCATTAAAATACACTCCCTCAGTTAATCAGTACGATCCGATAGCACGTACTAATCGCGATCAAGCATCTCCGTAGAATTTTGAATACACGCGGGTTCGAAGAGGCCGAGTGAACCCAGCTCCGGTAGAGGGGAGCAAGCAGTGTATGTAGCCCGCTCGGCAAAATGAAAATGGCGGTGTTCCCGTATGAACGGAGCAACGGCCACTGACGATGCTCGTTACGGTAACGGACACGTGAGCGAAATCGAATGTGGTACTTTTACATATCCTGTGTGCATCTGCGGAGTTCGTTCGGTGTTGTATAGTAGCGGGAATAACGTGGATGCGAGCTAGATAGGTCGAAGCGCGATTTTTCACCTCGATCAGGGACAAACAAACACGAGATGGAGTGACACCGTGAAGTGTTGACTCCGTGGTACACGAAGTGGGAAGTGTCGGCTGTTCGATTCGCGTACTTGGAGGACGAAAAGCCTTCATGCCGATGCCGGCCGAATACCACGAAAACCACGGTAACCACGAGAACGCTAATTTCGCTCTCGGGGCCACACAGGACGCCAGCAACATGACGGCCAACATGTACCGGGTGGGAGGTAAAGTAACCGTATATACATATATGTATACATAAATGTATACATATGTATATACGTGTATGTATATTTTGCCGGCTGATGGCTATGCATCGAATCTCGAGCGCGGCTTTAATTAACTTGAGAAATTAATGTTTGCAAATGGATCGCAATGGCGTCCCCTGGTGTCTTCGTTTTGCCCGCGCACCACCTAGACTTTCATCCGTGTATCCGAATCTCCCTTCCTCCTCACTCTTTTTTGGCGTCCGTATGCACGTCTGCTTTCCTTCTGCTCCCTCTTCTCCCCACTCTCGCCCTTCATTCGGGTCATACTAATTTCTTGCGGGATGATTTTGGGTGATTAAAATTCGATATTTTGGAATATATGTTCTCCTTTCGTGAATGCTTAATGAGAACTCGGAGAATGTAGCCGAATGTAGGATCTTCTATTAAATATGCTTTCAATTTTAAACAGGATAATCAAAATATTAATATAATTTTGTTCTGTATTTTATTTTTACTTTGCAAAATTTAAAATATAAATTTAAGTACTGAGAGAGTACGTTATGTTTGGTTTTCACAAGTGGTGAGAATCTTTTTGCTTATGATTTGAAAATATAGGAATTTGAAAATTGGAAATTGAGAATTATTTAATTTGAGCATTTGGAGGTTTGAAAATTTATAGAATTAAAAAATTTGAAAGTGTGAAAGTTCAGAAATTTAGAAATTTTAGCCTTTGGACATTTTTTAATATTTGGATTAGGAAATAGAATATTTGGAGATCTAGGAATTTGGAAATTTGGAGAAATCCCAAGTTTCAGTATTTAGGTGTTTCAGAATTAGGAGTTTAGAAATTTGAAAAATTGAGGATTTATAACTTTGGACATTTCTAATAGCCACTAATTTGTATCACTGCTGGAGGCTTCCTTTTCTTATATTGCCATTTTCTATAGGGAATGCCATATTGCCTAGTAATTCCTTAAACTTTCTTTTCCCTCCACTTTTTCCCTAGAGGAAACCTGAAATGCTTTTAACCACACCAGTATCATAAAACCAATTAAAGATTTTCTTTACTTTTTTTTATATTATTCATGTACAAAAAGATTCAAATTTTTCATTTTTGTGTTTCTTTGTCATTTTGTTGAATACTTTAAATTTCTTTTAATATACATTTTTACTTTTATTTAATTCTAATGTAGATAATTATTAAACATTGTATGAATATATGTAATGCTAAGATATGTTTTATATTATCCAAATCTATACATACATTATGGATATATTTATATGTATGTGGGTACACAAATGCATGTATATATTTACCTAATAAAATTAATAGAATATATTTATAAATTATTTTTATGAAACCACTACATACATTATCCTTTCAATTTATAGATTATGTATATTTTGAAACATCTTCCACATCTCCCTACCAAATAAGAAGGATAGAAGAATTAAATAAGGTAAGAATTAAATTTGTAATTCTACTGAATTATTGGATTTATTATTATATAATATAAAAAAAATTCATGATTATAATATTTGATTATTTGAAATTAGAATTTTGTTAAATATTGTTTAAGCACTAGATTAAGGTCATGCACTGTATCATAATATAAATAGATTGACATACTATAAGTTTTTACTTATGTAGTTACAATAATTTAAAATATTCAGCATAAACAGTACTCATATTTAAGCATATTTAATTTGTTATTTTAGACAGCAAGTGGAAATGTTGAGGCAAAAGTTATGTGCTTCTTTAGGCGGAGGGATTTACCTCCAACATTAATCATGCTTGCGGATAAACATCAGTGTAAGTAAAATTTATACCTCCTACAACAACAAAAAAATATACTTAATCAATTCCCATTCAACAAATCTTAGTATTTGATTATTCCCTGTTAATAACAAATTAGGAGATTTGTTTTTCATAACAAGTTAATTTAATATATACAGGAGTATATTGATTTTAATTTAAAATATTCTCATGTTTTAATTAGTACTTAAAATTACATCAGAGATATATATATATATATATATATATATACCATGTAGCTATATTTAAAAACTGCATTAATATTTGAAGAAATAAGTAGTATAACTAATCTACTAATGATGCAGGATAATTTTTATCTTATTTAGCATTACTGTATAATATCAATAATTATCAGTACACAAATAAAATTATCATATGTAGATCTTTCATTAATTGATAGTTTTATGTTCTATATATTCTGTGTAATTGCTAATTAATAATGGACAAAATTGCATGATAATAATTAACAATCAATATTTATAAAAAAACTAAAAATATTATTATAAATAAACATTTATTATACTTTCGTCGGTTGATGCAAGCGATTTAAAATTCTATTTAGAAATTTTAGGTTTTTTATCGCGAACGATGCGATATAAAGATTTTCAAATTCGCTTACAGGACACACGGAAATAATGATACGAATTTGTAAAAAGAATTTCGTTCAATTTCATGTATTTTAATATATACATATTTCTGAACTTTTCTCGATTTTTCCTTTGTAATAGCAAAGATAATGAGACGCGGGTATTTGGGGGTGGGAATGTATAATAAGTAAAGTTGGGGGGGCGGAGGGGTGAAATGGGGGTTGTATCGATCTGCAGGGGGTGGGTTGAGGGTGGTGCACCCGCTAACCCACCACCCCCTTTTTCTACCTCTCTCACTCAAGTCCCTCATACCGCCCCTCTTTGCCTCCCGCCACCCTCAACTAAATGAATGACTGACGCAGGGGTCGGTTGGGTATGTGTAACGTGTACTCAAACACAGACTTGTAAGAACGACGCATACGATACCGGCACATGGACACGTACGAATAGCGGGTAGAGAGAAACAGGAACGCACATATATATGTTGTATGTATGTGTATATGTATATATATATGTATATAAATACATACATATATATATATGGGCTGGTGAAAATGGTGGGCCCCACTAGCCATCTTCGTTTTAAGCATTTACTCCCTTGCTTCTCTTTTACTCCCTTGCTTCTCTTTTACTCCCTTCTCTTTTCTATCATACGTACCCTACGTATATATTCGTGAATGTACACTCTTTTGTTTCGTTTTGTTTCTTTCTTTCTCTTTGCTCCCCCTACCCGCCCAATCTCTACCCGTAGCTCTATGTCCGTCCACCGGTATTTGCTTCGAATCGGGTTCTCCCCTTCCTTTACCATTCCTGTACTTTACTTTTCTGTACCTGAAATTTTAGAAAAAAAAATAATATTAACTAGGTTTTGTCAGACATTCATCTTTTCATGTAAAATACTTTTATGCATTTTAAATTGATATACATGTACATTATGAGATTTCTTTAATAATGATTTTAAAAATAAAAACTTTTAATTCCAATTCATCTCATAAGTCTTGTCAACTCTTTCAACTAATTTGATTTTATATCAATTCTATTATTAATCATTTTCTAAACTTTTAAATACATTTTGCTTAACATTCAGTAGTCTACTGTTATTTACATACAGTAGAAGATACAATTTTTTGAGAATCTAAACTGAATTGTTGTAAATAATTAAAGTATAAAAAGTTTACAATAATAGTTTGATAAAACTATTTGAGCTATAAATACACAATACAATTGTAAATAGAAACGTGTTTGGAATTTGTTGACAGAATCAAAATTATTTTATATGCTCCACAAGTATTGATCATTAAAAAAATATAGTTAAATTAATTACTCTATAATGTTTAAAAATGATACATATTTTCAGTTGTTTAAACTGTTTAAAATTATAGAGTTTGAAAGCATGCTAAAATTGTATTAAACAAAGGATTTAAATGAAAAGAGACATAGTAGAGTGGGTTCTATGATACAAATTGCAGTGGCAAGTGCGGAGCAGCAGAGATCAGAATCCCCTGCGAACACACAGAGTCAGAAACTCGAGAATCCAGATACAACTAAGGAAATGACAAATAAAGATGGGATCGGGCCCAAAGTGATGAACAAAGGGGGCGGGAAGGGGGGCTGGCTGAAGGCCCCATTATCAGAGGCCCAAGAGCCTCATGGTGAGTGAGCAGTCAATCGAAAGGTGCTCCTTGCAGATGAATTTTATTGGCATGTGTGCAAAATCTTAACAAAAAATGTGCTTAATTGCTGTAATTCAACTTTACTATCAAAAGGAAATATATTTATTACTTGTGATTTCTTTTTTATCTATGATAAAATATTGTACCAAAATATTACTTTGAATTATTTGTACATATTAAATTCATCAGTAAGTGCTTTATAATATGCACCTTTTGATTGTCATGTTAGTCCCATATAGAAGCCAGTGATGATGTAAGGCTAATGACGTAGCGGCGGGATTTATAAAATTCTTTGTAATCTTGGTGAATGCCATAAGTATCGGCTCAATTCACTGTAAGGCCAAAGAGACAATAAATTGGGTTTTACTATAACCTCTTGATTTAAGATTTATAAAAAGAGGTTTCAGTATTAAATACAAAATTTTATAAACCCATATATTATTTTTTGATAGTATATGGGCATGAACATTTTTTTTTTCTTCTTTTTTTTAATCATCTCTATCATCTTTCTCATTTTTTCTCTTTCAAAGGATCACCAAAAGTAGTAAATCATCAAATAAAATTCATTCTAATAAATTTTTAAGAATCCCGCCGCATAAGCTGATAATTCTTTAGTAATCTGAGGCTTCTTCAAACAATTTATATGTGTTTCTTTAAATATTAATTTCATTTCTGTTACGATAGGTAGTATATCACTTAAGAGTGCTTTTGTTTCCTTTTCTTGTGTTGCCCGCTCTTGCTGATATTTTTAGTTTGGTATTGTAAGTTTTGATTGATTCTGCCACATTCCTACGTTTCATTTACATTTAATTTATATATATATATTAAAAAATTAGTAACAACAATCATGATAATAAATAATTAAAACTGCATGAACAAGTTAGTAACTTTGGGGAATATCTTTACAAATGTAAGATCAATATTTTATTAACCTAGTACATTTTAAATGAAATATTCCATTGAAGTTATAAATAATTCTATTTCAAATTATACATTAAATAAAATAATAAAATCGTGCAAAATTTTTAAGTATTGCCTCTTTCTGACCCTTTTTTACTTTCTTTATTACAAGCTTTTTGCAATTTATTTTAAAGTTATAGTAGTGAATTATAATTAAAATTAAATTATTTTCATTTAGGGATGGAAGAAAATGTTGTTGGTGCCGGAGGTGTTACAGAATTAAGTTCTAAACAACGTCATCAAATGAAGCACAGAGAACTGTTTTTATCTCGTCAAGTAGAAACAATGCCTGCAACGCACATCAGAGGCAAATGCTGTGTAACTTTGTTGAATGAAACAGAATCTTTACTAAGCTATCTAAATAAAGAGGATTCTTTCTTTTATTGCTTAGTATTTGATCCTGCCCAGCGTACTTTACTTGCTGACAAAGGTATTTATCAACAAAAACAATTATTTATAACTACTATACTACTCTTATTATGTTTCTCTTTATACACATTTGGATATTAATAAATATAAAAATTGTTACAGGTGAAATTAGAGTGGGTAGTCGATACCAAGCTGATGGTATAGCGCCATCTCCGCTGACAACCGCTGAAAGAGAATCAGATCCTCGTAGGTTGCAAGATTTAGAAACTTTGATATGGACACCACGGCATTCGTTAACGGATCGTCAAATTGATCAGTTTCTCGTTGTCAGTAGATCTGTAGGCACATTTGCAAGAGCTTTAGACTGTTCATCTTCAGTTAAACAACCCTCTTTGCATATGTCTGCAGCAGCCGCATCTAGAGATATTACTCTTGTAAATATTACCATTTTTATTGTACATTTTAAAAGAGAAACTTCTTGTTATATTCGTGTATATTTATAGTTTCATGCAATGGATACTTTGCATCGACACAACTATGACGTTGCGAAAGCGATGTCGTCTCTAGTACCCAGCACTGGTCCAGTATTATGCAGGGACGAAATGGAAGAATGGAGCGCATCTGAAGCGAATCTTTTTGAAGAAGCCCTTGATAAATATGGAAAGGATTTTTCTGATATACGTCAAGATTTCGTAAGTATACTTTGTAAAATATCCAAAGAATGTCACGATTTAAAATTTTTTAAAGTTTTAATTAATATAAATATTATTTTAGTTACCATGGAAAACATTAAAAAACGTCATTGAATATTATTATATGTGGAAAACCACCGATAGATACGTACAACAAAAAAGGGTAAAAGCTGTGGAAGCTGAAAGCAAATTAAAACAAGTTTATATACCAAACTACAATAAGACAACTCCACCCACAACTGCACCTTCTGCAGCAACAATTGTACCTCTTGGTAATAGTAATAATAACAGCAACGGAAAACCAACTAGTGTTCTCAATGGCAATAGCAATGGCAATATGACGACTGATAATAGTGGGATATTAATGGTTGGAGTTAGCGGAAAACCGTGTGAAAGTTGTCAAGTTATGCAAAGTCCGCAATGGTACGCTTGGGGCCCGTCACATATGCAATGTCGTCTTTGTCAATCATGTTGGACCTATTGGAAAAAATACGGTGGTCTTAAGGTATGTTTATAAATATATATGTCCCCATATTCCTTGGTCTAAATCAAGTATAATATATTAATTTATAAAATATAAATACAGGTTCCATCACGTATCGATGACGTCGATTTGGAAAGAAAAAGAGGATGTACAGGTTCAGATGAGGAAAGTAAAGGAATCAGTGGTGCTCATAGACCTCATCGATGTAGCATTCCTTCTTGCGGCAAAGAATTTAAGCTCAAAGCACATCTGAGTCGCCATTATGCAAGTGCACATGGAGTTGATTTACGCGGAAGCGGTGTAAGTGGAAGCGGCGGCGGTGGATCCCCTAGACCTGTGATGAAGACTCGATCCGCATTTTATCTACGTACTTCAGTGTTAGCGCGGGCTGCACGACGATTATGTGCAGCCCAATTACGTACACGTCATGCAGCGAGAGCGCCTCATCAACCTGTAAACGCAGCGCCACTGCGACATCTTTGTGCTTCTCCGCAGTTAACGTCAAAAAGCCCTGCGGAATTACGAATTTTAGCACGCGCTGTGCGACCTCGAACTCGTCCTCGTGTAACCGATATAGCAACACGTTTGGGTGATCATCCTGCTCCGCGACAACCTGGAGATTGGGATTGGTTAGCTCTTACAGCTCCTGCACAACGAAAACAACCTGACCGTGTTTCCTTCCCCAGACCACCAAAAGCACCAGGTATTTATTTAATAAATTTTATTAAAACGCATCTTTATATGCAGTATTCAATATTTTTATACCAACGATATGTTGCAGATGGCAGTCTTTTATACGAAAGAGTACCAAATAAATCAGAAGTAGATAGACTGACAGTAACTCCACCTCAGCCACAACCCAGTATGCAAACGCAGCAAACAATACTAAAACGTACTAGACCTCCATTTGACGAGATCAATGGATCAGATGGTAAGCTCTAGAATCATGCATTTATTGATGTATTAGTATAAGATCTTAAATCCTAGTACTGAATGCGATCTTTTGTTTACTGGCTTCTACTCTGATGTGGATTGGGATGAAGGTAAAATAATTTAGAGTTAAAAAATCTAAAGAGCAATGCATACGAGCGATTTTTCATACGTCTTTTTTTGGTTTCTCAATTAAACGTAACAAAAGCAAACGTGATCGCAGTGGAAGCGCTCAAAAAAAAAGTTGCTCATATGCATCGGTCCTAAGTGTGATATAATAAAACAAATAATAAAAACTATTATATTTAGTAGTTTTATGTTATCTTTAAACAATATGCATTTTAATTTTGAATATTTATATTTTTAACAGGTATTGCCCTAAGTGCAGGGCTCCCTGGTGGACCGCCTGCAAAAAGGGCTCATCATTCTCAGCAGCTACATCCAAAACACACTTTGGAACACACTGCACCTGCTGTTCTTCCGTTAGCACCGCCTCTTAATGGAAGAGCTGCTCATCCTCATACTTTGCCTCATGGTCCACCTTTATCTAGAAGTAATGCGCGTAAACAAGTGATTTCATGGATGGATGCACCAGATGACGTTTACTTTCGTGCTTCAGATCAAACCAAGTTAGTACTCCTAATATTACCGCATTATACACATTAAAAGAATTACTAAAATCATTGTTATTGTTAATTTGCAGAAGATATAGAAGAACCTTATCATCCGTGGAACTTCGAAGAGCAGCACGTAAACCATGGCGTAGATTACCAACTCCATTACATCCTCCTCATCCGCAGAGAGCAGTACGCGGTGATGACATGGTTGTCATCCTGGACTGAATCAGTAATACAATCAGTTAGACAAATTGACAAACATTGATCAGTTTGTTATAATGGAATCATACTGTTACTGTAATTTTAATGCCAGAGTCAACACAGTGAAGATTTTCCAGCTTTATGTATTGTCATTGGCAGCTCTGAACGCTGAGCAAGGATTATTCGCTGTTTGGAATTTTTTGCAAATCATTTTCAAAACAGCAACTCGCCAAAATGAAAGGCCTCCCTTGACTGAATTTGCGTGATGCACTGACATTGCTGAAACATACTTCACGTATATGAACGAAAAGCAACGACTCTGGAACGAACATTCATCGAATCTTAAGAAAAAAAAAAAGAAATCAAGTCATTCATCATGAAACATGATTTTCTATTCGTATTAATTAGTTATTGTTGTTATTAATAATTATTATTAATAATTGAATGTACATATACATCATACCACACATTCATACACACATAACCAGGCAACATAAATGTCCAACGAATGTTGGATGTAAGCTCTTACATCGGTTAAATTGGCACATACCACGCGCATTAGCTTACGAAAAAAAATGTTACGGCCGTGCGCGTAACAAAAACGAGTGGACGAGAAAAAGAGAGAGAGGGTGGGAGAGAAAGTGAGAGAGAAAGAATAAGAATGTAAGAGAGAAAGATGGAAAGAATGCTCATTGTGAATATTTTTATTAAATTTTCAAGTTTGATGACTTCCGTCGCAACAATTAATAAATAAACATAAGCATTAAGTGGAAGGATACACTAGTCCTTTTTCCGTTTGATCCATTTTCCTGTCGCACTAAGCTTCTATAAAGAATTGATTGCAGAGATATGTTTATATACATTATTACTATTTATACGCAATTTCTTTATTGTTTATATTATCTTTTGTTGTTTCGATCATCATCAATGAATTAGATCTTCTTTGATTGTTGCACAAGAATATGTAACTTTTTTTTATCCTATTTCTTTGTCTTACAAACTTAGTAATAAATAGATAGATGTGATTGCATAATATAAAGTATATAATTTGTACCAGACGGTCGAACTTTATCAATATGTTTTATAACATATTTTATAAGTAGAAATGAAAAAAGTGTTATATACACATACATCAACAAGATACCAATACAAGTTTTATACCTCTGTTACAACTTTATTATAAATCACCTGTGGCTCTATATGTACATATGATTTTCTTAATTCTAAACTATATTGGTAAAGTTTGATAATTTAGTTTTGGAACATTTTGTATAAACAATATATAGAAAAATGAGTCGGATAAAATATTTTTAATCCAAAATTGAAAGATTCTCCTTATATAAGTTTGTATGTTTATTTATAGATATTATTAAGTTTGTAATGACTTAGTGTATCATGTAGTATTGTTATTATAATTTTCTATATCATAATATTATTATTAAATATTTGTTGATAAAGATTTGTATTTGAAACAATACAGAATATAAAGGTTTGTATATAAAAATGCAATGCAATTTTAAAAATAAAATTTTTCTTATAAATTAAATTATATTTTTAATTTACAACGAAATTGTAGCTTAAAAATCTAAAACTCATTATTCTTTTATAATTAATCGATACTTTAAATTAGCCAATGAAATTTTCATAATATTTCGGACTATACCGTTACAATCTCAAATTCAGCTTTTCTATGATGCTTTGATACTCGTATCGATGGTATCAAATTAATGTTGTATTCAGTGCGTATTCTATATAGATATTAATGAAAATGTAAATTTTCTTCTGGTAATACATTTATTTTAAATTGCAATAAAATTAGAATTAAAATATAGTGCATATTTTAATATAGAGGAGATAGAAAACAGTAATATGGAGAATATGGCAGGAAATGAGGTTAGTTTTGTTTTCATTTAGGGAAAGAGTAATATACTCTGATTTATTTATTTGTATGTATAGAACTGTATGTTTGTAATGTGTTTATATAAATCCTTTTGGCTATAGTTGCATGTATATCATTAGTTTTATTTTATTTTGTTTGTTTGTTATTGACTTTAATATAATAATTCAATACACAGAATCCACAAATGGCACATCAAATGTCATCTCTGATGAGCATGCCTGCAAATAATAATCATGGAGTACCAGGAATAGATCCTCCTAAATCACTACCCAGTTTATTAAGTTTAAAAGTAAGTCCTCCAAGTGAATTACAAAATCAAACTACACCAGATGATGTAGGCAGAGATACGGATACCGATTCAATGAAGTTACCAGCAGCTTTAGAACAAGCTCTTGCTTTTAAAACAGAAAGAGCTAAAGAAGTTGGTGCAGATCCTAATGATATTGTATCATTAGGAAAATCACCTAATCATGAAATTGTAGGAGAAGATGTATCACAGTTAGACGATGTTATAATTGAACCTGAAACAACAACAGAAAAAACAGATGCAAAAATGAATAAGACTAAAAAGAAAAAGAAGAAAAAGAGGAAGAAGCACAGCACAGGAAAAGATACAGAAAATAAAAAAGATAACATAGAAAATGCAAAACCAAAAGAAGATTTGCCTGAAATTGAATATATTCAAGAAATTCCAAGTGTTAATGATTTGGAACCAATGTATCGTCAATTTGCTAGAATTTTTGAAGCATTTAAACTAACTGAACCTGAACCTAAATCTGCAGAAGCTGATAAAGGTGAACCAATAGGTCAGTATCCACCAGTAACTAATTTACAAACCACTGGGACAGTACCTAGCAAAGTGCCACCATTAGATGATTTTGACGATGATGTGAATCAGCAACAGCAACAACAAGGAAGTGGAGAAAATGGTACTCCCCGTCTTTCCAAAAGGAAACTGAAAAGGTTAACACGCTTGAGTGTAGCAGAATTAAAACAGCTTGTAGGACGTCCTGATGTTGTAGAGATGCATGATGTTACTGCTAGAGATCCAAAACTTCTTGTACAATTAAAAGCTCATCGAAACACAGTCCCTGTACCAAGGCACTGGTGCTTTAAAAGAAAGTATTTGCAAGGCAAACGTGGTATAGAAAAACCTCCTTTTGACTTGCCTGATTTTATAAAACGTACAGGCATTACAGAAATGAGAGCTAGTCTTCAAGAACGGGACGATACACGTACATTAAAAGCTAAAATGCGAGAAAGAGCAAGGCCGAAACTCGGTAAAATAGATATTGATTATCAGAAATTACACGATGCATTTTTCAAATGGCAAACTAAACCGCGTATGACCATTCATGGTGACTTATACTATGAGGGAAAAGAATTTGAAACACGATTAAAGGAAAAGAAACCTGGAGAGCTATCTGACGAACTACGTACCGCACTTGGCATGCCTGTAGGACCTAATTGTCATAAAGTACCACCACCATGGTTAATTGCTATGCAACGTTATGGACCACCACCAAGTTATCCCAACTTAAAAATACCTGGTTTGAATGCTCCAATTCCGGAGGGGTGCGCATTTGGTTACCATGCTGGTGGTTGGGGAAAACCTCCTGTAGATGAAACAGGAAGACCTTTATATGGAGATGTATTTGGTATTTCACGTACTCCAGGTGGAGATAATATGGATGAAGAGATTGATAGAGGAATGTGGGGTGAACCTGAATCAGAATCTTCTGGAGATGAAGATGAAGATGAAGATGCAGAAGAAGGTGGAGAAGGTGAAGGAGAAGGAAAGGATGGAGATGGAGATGCAAGTGGTTTGGTTACACCTGGTGCAGAAGGTTTAATAACACCAAGTGGAATTACATCAATTCCTGCTGGATTAGAAACGCCAGAAACAATAGAATTAAGGAAAAAGAAAATTGAGAGCGAAATGGAAGGAGGCGATACACCTGCTTTGTACACAGTTTTACAAGAAAGAAGAACAGAAGGTCTTGGGGCAAGCATGATGGGTAGTACACATGTATATGATATGACGGGAGCAGCGGGAGGTCAAGCACCACCGTCTGTAATTGCTGCTCGTCGTGGAGTAAGTGGAACAGCATCTGACGGAAGAACAGAAAAAGACGGAGCTGTTGAATTAGCGTTAGATCCAAGCGAATTGGATTTGGATTCTGAAGCAATGGCATCGCGATATGAAGAAACTATGAGGTCACGGCAAGCTCATTTAAGAAGAGAAGATTTATCGGATATGCTTCAAGATCATGTGCAACGGCAAAAAGTAAGTAAATTGTACATATACCATTATCAGTTAACAGGCATATTAAATAAATTTTCTTTATTTTTCCAGAGCAAACGTAAACGTCAACAAAGTCAAGATTCAAAAGCTTCTAAAAAATATAAAGAATTCAAATTTTAAGTTAAGTAAACTGATACAGTGTAAGAACCAGATTTTATTTGGAAAATATAGGAGTTATATTATTATTAATATCACAAATTCAGGATTTCATGGATAATGAATCATCAGCATTCAACTGTTGCATTGTCAAATTTTTTAATTTAAAAATGTTTTACATTTTGTCTCACTCTAATGTATGAATCTTTAAATTCATCATACTGTAAACATATTAATTTTTTATAACGATGACAAGTGTATATAAACTTTATCATATCAAGAAAGATACACATTGTTCATACAATATGTTTTTTTTGTAAACTAGTATAAAATTTGAATTTATTTGGATGAACAGTTATAAGAGGGTAAGATAAACAATATAACAACAATAAAAGACATGGAAGAGAAATAGTAATTGTGAATCTACTTATTGCGCTACCAATGTCTAACCAACTTCCTTGAGGAGTAACGCAATACATAAGTGGTAACGCTAAACAGTCCCCTAGTAACACTACCGCTAAGAAACTATTTGAAGATCCAAACGTGTAACTTGTGCATCCCACCATAATCAAAGGTATACAAATTTTCATCAGTATTAATGAAAACATTATAAATGGTGAAAAAACCGTCACAAAATGTCTTGTCCAGGAAGGATCAAATGAACTGATACTTGCCATATTTCCAGTTCCAAAAAAACACAGTAATGTATATAACATCTATAATAAATTGTTCAGGATATATAAAAGCAGCATTAACTATTTTGATAATTAAAATTCATTATGAATAACATGATAATTAAGGATACAAAAATTGCTGCTTTAAGTAATTCTTCTATAGTCAGAAGACTTTTAATACTTTGGTCATTTCCAATGGAAGACGAATCGGATGACCAACAAGATAAATGCAATGTAAAAATTATGAAAAAGAGGGGTTCATAAGATGCTGATAATAAAATAAGTGGGCAAATGAGTCCCAACATTACCCCTTGTATTCTTTCTATTAATTGTGTAGGATAAGTACAAATACATAATGGAGTAGTCAATAAAATTGCCCATGATATCCAATTTCGACCATCTATAAATTCTAAATATATTAGCCCAGTAATTGTTAGTCGTAAAAGTTCTATTGTTTTCTTATGCTTTGACTTGATCTTTACAACAATTATTGCAGCTGCAATGCATATGCTAAGAAGTCTGGAAAGAAAATGTTTTGAATGTATCAAATAATTTAGAATTACAGTAAATGTAATTTAATATTAATTTAAACTCACACGATATAAACTCGAGGGTATGGTTCAACAACAGGTAGCACTGGAAAAATAGCTAGGCACAAAGCCGTCCAAAGGAACAACTTCTGCTGGTTTTTTACCAAAATTTTGTGAGAAAAACCAATACATAAAATTCCTACACTAAGAATAGACCTATACGTTAATCCAACGAACATCGTTGCTAATAAAAGTATAATTTCTATACCCATCGACCAATAACGTTTATGATTATGTACTTCAATTTTTATAGAATGTGTCATTGCATTTCGAACAGCTAACCAGACAGAAATTAGAGCTAGAAATGCATACCAAGGTAGTCTCCAATTAACACAACCTGAAACTAATATTTGTATGAAAATTAAAGTAATAGATTTTGAATCATTACAAATATTTGTAATATGCTATACCTTTATGTGTAATAAGTATTATAAATAGTAATACTGCAAATACAATATCTGTTATTAATAAAGTAATTGAATTAATAACAGATTTTTTGGCTCCTGCTATTTTAAAAAATAGTAATGTTATCCACCCAAACCACATTATTGATAAATATACTAAGAATCGTATTCTTTGGTATTGTCGGAAATATAATAAAGCGTTTTTGGCTAATTTAATTGTATCTACTAAATCTGTTAATGTCTCGTTTGAATCTCTTATTTCAAGATATCTATCGATCGAAAAAATTTTATTTTCTAATTCTACCTCCCTCCAATCAGCAAACTCATTATCCTTACAGTTCAACATACGATTTGCTTTTACTTGATATGTTAACTGTTTTAAATTATTCAACAAAGCGCGATTTATATAGTTTAGATTACTAGGGTTTATGTACTGCCATGGTAAAACACCCTGCAAAAGAAATGTGTATATAAAGTAATAAATGTTGCAGTTAATTACAATCATATTATCTGTATACACACTTCATTATTAATGGGTATTGGAGCACCAATTAGAGATGATATTAATGGGGTAATATCTACTTGTTCCACATTTTGATAGGAATTAAATGCATTGATCCCTGCACCCCAAGCAATCAATGGAGTTTCTGTTTCATCTGTAGAACCACTTCCATGTGATCCCCAATCAGTCATTCCATGATCTGCTGTGAAAATGTATGTGGTTCCATTATCTTGAAAAGTATTCTCTGTCATTTGTACCACTTCTTCTATTTTTCGATCAACATAATTCATGTTTTCAACATATTCTCTGTATTTAAATTTAATTCAAAACTAATCAGATTATAATTTTGTTAACTGTATATTCAACTTTTATGTAGTAGTACCTAGAATAAGGTTTTGATGCATGTCCTATAGTATCACAGCCAAGAAGGTGAAGGAAAAGAATAATGCGTTCTGTGTTCTTAACTTTGTGAGCTTCTTCGTGAAGCCAATTAATATATTTGTCAAATACCCATGAATCTAATCGCCAAATTTGCCCCTGCATTATATCGAAATCTTGCCATTCTGGAGAATAACTATCTCCATGTATATTATTCTTTTTACCTATTTTTTTTTAAATATTAAATTAAATTATACTAAAAATTGTTATAAAGAAGAATTTGTGATATTCATTATACCTTTTGTAAACATAGGTATAATGTCAGGACTTCCCCATGCCCATGTAAAATGACTTTGATTAAAAACAGAATCAAAGTCAACAGGATTTTCTTTCCATCCTTTAAAAATTGCGCTAGGATCTTCATATAACCCTGCACAAATTGCAACAACACCTGGTCTAGACTCTGTTGGCATTCGTGTATGAGATATGCCCCAAGCACCTTTATTTACCATTACTTGCCTATAATTAAATTAATATATATTTAAAATTTTGATTTGGGAATAAACTTTTTGAAGAAGTACTTTTAAATTACTTAAGAAATTTTGGTGGTTCCTCAATAAAGGTTCTAAACCTTAAACCATCTGCAATAAATAAAACTAATCGCTTTGCAGGTGCATTTTTCAAAATTGGAACATTTGGCAATCCTTGTGTAATCGGAGAGTGAAAATTTACATCAAGTATGCCCCATAATATAATTAAATGCATTGTAAGGCCCCATATTACAAATAAAGAGTTACTATTCTTTATATTATACTTTTTGTTACACATTGTTTCAATGAATATTTAATACTTCAACATTCAAATTTTTTTCCTTCTAACTATTTAACTTATATAAAATTAATAATTAAATAATAAATAAGTAAACAAGCGTAATTTCTCTTATACTTTTATTCCTCGTTATTATTTAATATTTTATATAAATTATTCACTTCTTTCGTCGAGTTGTACGAAGTAAACAGTACAAGACCACTATCATCATTCATGAAGTTAGTTATTACGGTCATTAAATATATACATATTATTCGTGCAATGGGAAATTGTTCACCATCGGATGAATTTCTGTTCATTCTGCGCATCTGCTCTGATTAGTGGATCCTCAATAATATTTTATTTTATATATCACTTTCTTAAAATTTGAGGGGCTGAAACTTAAATTCGGAAATGATAGTTTTTCAAAGTTTCAGAATCACTAAATTTAAAAAATTTGAAGTTTATAAACTTGTGTACGAAACAACCATACATATTCAAAAACACTGATAAGTTGCAGCTCTTGGTAAGTATTACAAATTCTATGGTTTTTGCGGTTAAAACGTTCATTCATTGGGTAGAAAAATTAGCATGGATGATCCATGCAGCTCCATATGTTTCAATAAAGATATCTATCGAGTTTAAACGTAAGTACCAGAAGTTTTTGAAATTTCATGACTTACGTATAGTTTTATATTTCATATGTACAGCTGTAAGCACTATCAATCGTTGATAGTGAATAATAAGCGATGAGTTGACGCATGTGTGTACTTTTTTACTGATTTTTAGTAAGTTATACAGTCCACGTGTACTTTGACATAACTTGGAAACACTCTTTCTCGATTTTAACATCATTGATCATGGTACTAGACTTGGATATTTTCCGTAAGGATAAGGGTTTCGATCCAGATAAAATACGAGAAAATCAAAGGAATCGTTTTAAAGAAGTCAAATTGGTGGATACCGTGATTGAGAAGGATAAAATTTGGCGTCAACTACGACACAAAGCTGACAATTTAAATAAATTGAAAAATGTATGCAGTAAAGAAATTGGGGAAAAAATGAAGAAGAAGGAGGCAGTGGATGGTGATGATACTGTCTCGAAGGATATCCTTGAAAATTTAGACAATTTAATTCCTGATAATTTAAAATCATTAACAGTCCCACAAATTAAAACTATTCGGAGTTTTATTGATGATGCTATTCGAAAAAATGACAAAGATTTGATCTCGACCGAATTTGAAAGAAATCTTGCTCTTAAGGAAGTAGGAAATATTTTACATGAGTCTGTACCCATCAGCAATGATGAGGAAGAGAATAAGGTATGTAGTTGTGCATAATAATTTTCTTGTGTGATAATGTAAATAATGTTGTTGCTGTTAATTATAGATTGAAAGAACTTGGGGAGACTGTACACAAAAAAAACGATACTCTCATGTCGATTTAATACATATGATCGATGGTATAGATGGAGAACGTGGCACTAATATTTCTGGTGGTCGTGGTTATTTTTTAATGGGCCCAGCTGTTTTCTTACAACATGCACTGATACAGTATGCTCTTAGGCAGCTGTTTTCAAAAGGCTACAAACCGCTTTACACGCCTTTCTTTATGCGTAAAGATGTTATGCAGGAAGTAGCACAGTTATCTCAGTTCGATGAAGAATTGTATAAAGTATGGAATTATTAATGAAATATGTACGATTTTATCGCCGTCAATTATCTTCTCATGATATTTTATTAAATTAGGTAATCGGTAAAGGCAGTGAACACAATGATGATAAAGAAATTGAAGAGAAGTACTTAATAGCTACATCTGAACAACCAATAGCAGCATTTCATAGAAACGAATGGATTCCAGAAAATACCTTGCCAATTAAATATGCAGGATTATCTACATGTTTCAGACAAGAAGTTGGATCTCATGGACGTGATACCAGAGGCATTTTTAGAGTCCATCAATTTGAGAAGGTAACTCTATAACTTTGTATTCAATTATTTTAAATGACATAAATTCTTGCACGAATTAGATACAAAATATGTACGAATAACAGGTGGAACAATTTTGTTTAACGTCGCCGTTTGATAATAAATCTTGGCAAATGATGGAAGAAATGATCTCGAATGCGGAAGAGTTTTATAAAACTTTAGAAATTCCATATCGTATAGTGAATATAGTGTCGGGTGCATTAAACAATGCTGCTTCAAAGAAACTAGATTTGGAGGCATGGTTTCCAGGATCAGGCGCTTTTCGTGAACTTGTGTCGTGCAGCAATTGTTTAGATTACCAAGCAAGACGATTATTAGTCAGGTAATAAATTAAATCATGTCAATCTTATTTTACCATTTAAATTTCAGTTTATTTCCAGATAAAACAATGTTATTTAAATTTCTTTTAGGTATGGTCAAACTAAAAAAATGAATGCTAGTACAGATTATGTTCATATGTTAAATGCAACAATGTGTGCAGTTACTCGTGTAATATGTGCAATTTTGGAAGTGCATCAGACAGATACTGGTATCAAGATACCAAATATTCTTGCAGAATTCATGCCAGTTGAATATAGAACTGAAATTCCGTTTGTTAAACCAGCTCCTATCGATGAGACAGAAATGAAAAAGCAAAAGAAACAAAAGGATATTATAAATCATTAACAAATTTAACATCCATATATACTCTAAAAGACGAATTTAATATAATCGTAAAACGCAAAATAATTATTTCTTCCATTTGACAAAAGGATTTCTTATAAACTCGTTATACAATGCGATTGTAATATTGTTTTTATTAATCATGTAAAAAACATAGATTCGCAATTTATTGCTTTTTTCCAATGTGACATCTACATATACTTTATTACTCTTTGATTTCAGTTCACGCAATCACACACTTTCGATGTTCGGGTATCCAAACACGTATTCATGATAATGTAATAAACAGAGCTTTGAAAGCAGCAAAACATCGTTTTTAATCAAGTACCTTCTCCCAATTTCGATTTTCCTAATGATCTTTTTCTTTCCTCGGCTTTTCTCAAGTTATTCAATACTGCATGCTCGAATTCCGCGTCAGATATGTTTTGATTTACCTATTATGTAACATTTACATATTAAGAACAAAATTTAAAAACTGTAGAAAGTTACATAGTTTAAGTTTACCTCGCTTTTTATAATTTTAGGGACATTAGCTGTTTCTTTGATTGAAGAATTTGTTTGTTTCGATGTATCCCATAATTTTTGAAGTTTTAGTGGATTCTGTGCAAATCCAATTTCCATACTTAAAGCCATTTCCTAATAAAACCAAAGAAAACAATTTCATTATTTCCAAAAATGATTCATTCTTTTTCATTTTCTTAACGATATGAATTAACATATAATTCTTTAAATTTAATTCATAAATACATACTGCATCATTTCTATTTTGATACTCTACTAATGCTCTGCCTCTTTTAGCTGAGGAAATAACAAGAGCTGTTATATCTCCATACTGAAAATAAGTATATATATAGTAACAAATATACCTAACTACAAATCATATAACAGTAACAATATAAAAATGAAATCATAACAAAGTATATTTAACAATTATCGTATGCTAATCATGCACCTTTGATAAAATTCGATACAATGTATCATAACTGTATCCACTGTCATTCGGATGATTTTGATCAGATTTCCACTTTATTTTTATTTTATAGGAACCACTATTAACTTCGTATTCTCTACAAGATGCTTTTGATTGTTCGTCGATTTGTTTTTTCATAAGTGCTATCTCTTCTTCTACTTGTTTTGATCCTTCTTTCTGCAAACGTTCTATTTCAGCCTGTAACATGTAGAATCATTGAAATTATAATATTGGTTATAAAAACTAATCATGGTGAAATCCTTTGATGTACAATTTACCTGTAATCTTGCTTTATCACTGTTAATATCATGTTCCAAATTTGAAGATCTTTTGAAAGCATTTTCTCGTGCTTCTAAATCTTCCTTCAACTTTTTACGCTTTGCATCAAGCTCCTTAACTCGCAATTTCGCTTGATACTTAGCATTTATAACTTTGTCATAAGCTGCCTTAGGTTAAAAAAAATGGCATATTAATACATTTAATAGCAATAGGAAAGAAAATACGGACCACAATAATAGATTAGAGAATGATAGTTCTTTAATATATACCCGAGCAGATGTGTCAGTAAGGATTTCCAGTGCCCGTGATAATTCATGAAATAACTCGGCCGCTTTTGGATTATTTGGATTTTTGTCAGGATGACAAGACAAAGCCTTTTTACGATATGCTTTTTTTATCTGAAATGATATCATTAAATGAAGAAATGGTAATACATAAACAATACGAAAATTATTATAATTGAAAAATGTTATACCTCTTGTATCGAAGCTGTTTGCGATGCACCTATAAGTGCATATAAATCTGCTTCCATCCATGAATCCATTCTTAATCAGTATAATATTCTTTAAATAAGAAAAATACAAATTCTTTGAAATATCTATTTGTAGGAAAAGGTTAACTGCTCATTCCATTACGTTAATGAAAGCTCTTATACTTGACTTTGCAACTTCTTTGTCCGCGTTTTTCTTTTGCACCACTCAACCAAGTTTCATCAAATATTGCACGCACATGCGCATGTACATCCAGTGGACATAGAAAAAAAATTTTAAATGCATTAAAGTCTACACGGATATGGTTTTTCGGCAATTATTCCTCGGCGGCATGCGCGGGCGGCGCGCAGGAAGAATATACACACGATAATGAGCATGCAAAATCGTTAATTGTGCACTTTCTGAGCATAGTCTATGAACTTTTATGATTAAAGAATGGTCAGCAATGCATTATTTACATGGTTCGATCATAAAAGTTCATAAATAATGTTCGGGTAATGAGTAATTAATTATTTTGTTGCAGCCTCGCGGTACGTATATGAGCCGCCTATGTCAATTCTACTGCGGATGCAAAGTGCAATATTTCGGCACTTTGACGACGCAGTATGGTCCCTGAGGCATTTAGAAACAAATTTCTATTAGGGTTTGATGCGTTTTGATGCCTAATAAAGCCAGGAAATCAATTTTTGTCGAATTTGGTCCAAAACGGTACAGGTGGC